ACAGCGCTCGGTTCACTTATAGGTACAGATCATATATGTAAAGTAGTCCACTTTCAATGGTCCTTCAAAAATGTGAGGTCTGTTAGGATGCATCTCTTGAATATAGCCAAAGTGCTAAAGGGTATCATATTGCGATCTCTATAGTGATTTCAACTAACGGACAGACAGACGGACATAAATCGACATAGAATTTTATTCTGATAAAGAACGTTATGTATCTGCATAATCTTATAGGTCAGTTGTTATCGCCTTTTTAAGCACGATATACGACAGAATCACTATTTTTTGTAGTAGGTTCTGTGTGATCGATTTTCGTAAATGAAAGACCTCCAAGTGGAATGAAACAAAAATTGTTTTAACAACATAGTTTGACAGATGTCCTGGAATTCCTGGAATGCTATGTAGTGTAATTTAAAAGTATTTTAAAAATTAAATATTCCAACAAACTACACATATATTTTATTTATGATCAATATTAAAGACTTCTGTTAACAAATTATTTGCTTATACCACTTTTATATAGCTATGTGTTTCTAATAAATCACAGAAGCGAAATACAACTCTTTGTTGTGTGTAGGGTAAAATAACAACAAAAACAACAACGCCCATAATCAAATTAAGAATGACAACAACCAAATTTTCGTTGTTTATTTTCCAAGAGAATTAGATCAAATTAGATTAGTGAGGATGAGATAATAATATACGATACAATCGATTTAGATATACGTATCTACATATATGGCAGATTGTGAATGTTTGTGATTGTGCGATTTTTTGTCAATTGACATCATTATTCCATTCACTTCAAATGACAAGCAGAGACAATTTCCTAACAAAGTCCATATAATTGTCACCAGCATCATCATCGAGATCCACATAGCGTCGCCATAGACACCAACAAGTGACGCATACAAGACCTTTTAAGTCGTTTTTCTGTTCACCACTTTTGATTTTGAACATGAACCAGTCAATCATTTTATAGATGCACGCACGCAAGCAGGCACATACACCGTATCTGATATCTGTTCCAAACTCTGCCACATGCGTATGCTTGTCACACACTTGCCGATGGTGGTGTTGTTGTTGTCATATTGATATTGAAGTAGGGTAGATGATGAAAAGAAACAAATGTTTTGTTTTCGGTTGTTTACGCACTGGTGGCCCCCTTATAATGACGACACGGCAGCACACGATGAATATCACATCGGGAAAGTGTTAGTGATAATTGTTGTTGATGTTTTGTTTTTTTTTTTATGAGAGGCCTAATTAAAGTTTTTAACCAATAGAAACTAAAAATCGAACAATTGTCCAAAATGTCATCGAATCAAATGTTAAATGGGAAGGGACATTAAAGTATTGGTTACATGGGCCTAAAAATGTATATTCTTGTTCATACATTAAGGTGTTATCTTACGTAGAGGCATAAATTCTTGTGCCATGTGTCATTCACAGCGAAGTGAAAAATCTACTTAAAATTTTTGGAAAATTGAAATGTACATATGTATATGAGTTAAGTATGTCAAGTGGTCAATACATGACTAATGCCTAGTCCATCATAATTTCATAGAGGGTATAACTGATGGTATCGACCACAATGGGAGAGGATGGTATGAGGACTAATCCACTGAATGTCATAATGTATAAAATACAAATATGTACGCTAATTTGTACTCAAATATTGTTAAAAATAAAAAATAAGAAAAGCAGAGAATTTGGAAATTTATTAAAATCAATGTGTATTTAATAAGGTGTATGCATAAAAAATTAAAAAACAGACTGATTGTCACTTACACCTCACAGAAATACACCTTGACTAAAAATATAAGTTATAAAAATATTGAAACTTTGTACAGTCGACTCCGCTTTACTGTAAGTCGCTTAACTGAAAAATATCGGAGAAGTGAAATCGATTTTCTGCACCATTTCATTTTAGGTTAGTCGCCCACAATTTACTCCCGATAAGTGAAACACACATTTCTATAATTTATATACAATAATCAAGGATGTTTCAAAATATGTTACAGAATGTACCGTTCATAAGCGAAATACGAGGTCCCATAAAATTAACAAATTTTTGAGGAGGTTGTCCACTTGTAAGTGATTGTCTAAGTGATTATTTAAAGCCTTCTAGAATAAATGATGCAGTGAATCTATTATGAACAGATTTAGCAAGGAGGTATGTTAGTCTTTCACAACCCCATATTACAGCCAAGTCAGGCTTAAAATCGGCTAGTATATGAAACATTTTCAAAGACACGGTTCAATATTTTCCGTTTTTGGAATCAATCCATCTAAGATGTATCATAAATATTATAATATATAAAATAGATCTCAGCATTGCAACAGGCAGACGATGGACTTTGTTACAAGTCGCACATTTTAGAACGCATCAAAAGATAATTCCTAATAAAAATCATATAAGAAATGAACATGTCAACCAGTTTTAATTTCTATCTGAAATTTCTAAAAGTAAAGCGGAGTCGACTGTATGCGGATGTCCTTGCCGATGATAGAAATTGAACTAAATATATTTTATATTTACGATCAGCTATGTTTAAACCCCCACCTGTTTTTATTAAATAGTAGATCATATGTTGGAAGGTACCAGAAAAAGTTATAAAAATGTTGAAACTTTGTACAGTCGACTCCGCTTTACTGTAAGTCGCTTAACTGAAAAATATCGGAGAAGTGAAATAGATTTTCTGTACCAAATCATTTTAGGTGAAAATGTTCAGTCCACTCCTTTGGGTACCTCTGCTACAAATGGTCGACATTTGAAATTTGTATAAATTCACTTTTAGGCTAATGAAACGCCCGATTTGACCTGAATATCTTATTTTTACCAATTAAAATTAGACCCATATGACACCAGTTTCGTTGAAATGAGATAATCTGTTCTAAAGTTATACGCTTCGAAAGTTGGACTCGAAAAACTCAGGCACTTAAGTTTTTCGATTATCTCATTTATGGGTCTAATTTTAATTGGACAAAATAAGATATTCAAGTTAAATCGGGCGTTCCATTTGCTTAAAAGTGAATTTATACAAATTTCAATCAAATATCTCAATAGATGGCGCTGACGACGCGGTCTTAAAAGTTGAATACCTCATTGGTTTTTGCCATAAATTCTGTCGTATTATATATATGTGGTGCCATATGAAAGGTGCAATCGTATACTTTCTTGTAAAATAAATAAGCATAAAAATACGAAGAAGATATTTTTAGCCAAAAATATGCATTTGATTTGTATCTGAAACGGGTCACGATAAAAGTTATGAAGATTCCCAGCCAATTCCAATTTCTTTTAACATGATAATTTCTTCATTAAATTATGTTTTTGCAAAATAGTCAGGCTGAATCCCAGTCTGTTGTTTTTATAAAAAAAAATACTATTTATTAGTGGGGAATGTATGGAATTGTTTGCCGAGGGGCAAAGCAGGGAAGACTATAGTTTCGGATCCGGCCACTGATACTCATCAGTTCCCTTAGTTTTTTGTTGGGATATTCTCCCGGAAGCTATTCCTTCTATACAAAAAAACTTTCATAGCCAAATTATGATAAAACCAGTTCTAAGATTTATCCAGTAAGGAAAGTAGTAAATTCGGACGGGCCGACTATATTATGTCATTCACCACTTTGGGTATATTCGTCATATGAATCCTAGTAGACGTCTCCTTTTCGAAGAAACATTGACATAGTATTGGACGTACTTATATAACTTAAATAAATGACTAACTTAAACTAACTACAAAACTTCGCGTCAATTGGACAAACATTAGGAGTTTGGAGTACCATTTACCTAAAATCGGACGAAAATGTATATGGGAGCTATGTCTAAATCTAAGTCGATTTCAAAGAAACTTGCCAGAGATTAACTCATATGAACATCATTTCATTTTTGCAACATGTTGTGTCAACCGGACGGTTTATATCTACATATAAACGTAGATATAAACCGATTTCACAAATCTGACATACGTAAGGCTGTACTAACTTCAGTAGGTTGTGTGCCAATCGGAAACATCGAGTCTTTAAAATCTGAAAAAAATATATATGGGAGCTAGGCCAAATTTCGCGCAAATATAAAGATATATAGGGACTTTGGTGCACCATTTACATAAAATCGAACGAAAATATATATGGTACGATATGCCCAAATTTCGTGCAAATTGAAAGATATATAGGTACTTTGGTACACAATTTAGGTTTAATCGGACGAAAGATGTACTGGTGCTTTGGAGCATCATTTACAATAAATCGGACGAAAATATTTATCGCAGCTATATCTAAATCTGAACCGAATTTTCCCAATTTCAATAGGGTTCGTCCTTTGGCCAAATAAGGGACCTATGCCAAATTTCATACAATTCGGATCATAATTGCGACCTGTACTTTATTTACAATTTAACATAAACAGACAGACGGACGCATGGACATGCATAAATCGACTTAGAAAGTGATTCTATGCATATTCTCTAAGGAATCGTGTGTCTATCTTGTTTCCTTTTTGGATCTACCCATTCAATAGATGGCGCTGCCGAGAAGAGTTTCTCGTGCTCTCAAATTAAAAAAAATCACTGGTATTTTAGAATTTGCATAACTTTTAAATGCGTAACGATACAAATATAATTATATATATATATAATTATATATATATAATTAAAATGTTTATTAAGACCTTAGTACAGCCCCTATATGTGTCTCGGCTCTTTTTCAGTATTTTGAAGGTTTTACCGCATTTCCAACCGAATGGGCTGTAATTTAGCATTATAGGTTAATTTATAATGTACACATGTGTGCAGCAAATGTTCAATGTAGGTCCATGGTTTTTTAGAGCCACGTGGGGAGGCATCCTTACCTTGGGGATATGTAAAAAGTTGACCATTGTCAATACCAAAATCCGATAAATACTTGAAAGTGGAGTGTATAAAAAATATAATTATTAAAACAAAAAACAATATATTGCTTTATAAAATAAGCATTGTATCACAATCTGTCCTTTAATTTTTAATTCTCAAAGCCATTGCACTCAAATCGGCACGATATTTTTCCTTCAACGATTCATCCCTCGCCTCAGGTAATTCCTGCAAAACCTTATTGACCACCCAATTAACCATATGTTTGTGACTGATGCGCATCTCAATATTACGACACTCCACCTGATAATCCAGGCGATGTTTAACATCCTCAAATACCTTCATCATTGCTTTTCGATGTGCTTCTTCCAATTGTAATGCGATATTTTCTTTTTTCATTTGCATTAATAGCAGACTACCCTCGGCACGCCATTGTTCCTTGCGTTCATGTTCAATTAAATTTTCAAGAGCTTTTAGCTCCTCGGCGTGCATTTGTTTCCATTTTTCTTCGATTTTTTCAATTTCTTTATCACAATAGTCGGCAACTAGAGGTCCAAGTTTTTTAACTGCTGCAATGCATAACAGAGCCATGGAGATGCCATTATAGAATTCATGTTCACAAATGTATATTTCTTTGGAGAAGAGATAATTCAATAAACCCAGACCGAAGATGTATGGACCTGTCACGCCAGTTTTGTTGTAAAAGAATGTAAACCAATCATCGGGCAGGAAACCCATTCGAACTTTGGCTGGATCAATTGGTCGCTTTTGATTACATGCTTCCGGTTTCTTATTGCTGGCGATGGAACTGTAGGCTCTTATGGAAGTATTCCGCAAAATATTAAGGCACTTGGAAGTTAATAATATAACGCTGGGTTTTAAAATCATTATTTTTCAAAATAAAATGTTTGAAATAGTAAATTCTTTAATTAATAATCCTATTATTAAAATAAATTCAAAATTTATTTAATATGTCAGAAAAATGTGAGCCTTTTCCAGCACTTTCGTACACAAATATTTAATTTCCTCGTTTTCGCAAATGTATTGGAATTCTCAAAATTCATTTAAACTGCATAATTTCCAATTATTATGTAATTTAATAAAGTTTTGCCTGATATTGAAAAATTAAAATTGAATGATTTATTGATTTGCTAATAGACTAAACATACACAACATATAATTATATTATTTTATAATGTTAATTTCGACTTTGGTTAAACAAATTCGCAAATTATGAGGTGGCAGCCACATTTTTTTGCAAAATTTCGAAATTTTCTCTTATGGAAGCGATTGATGTGTTTGTGACAGCCTAATCATTAATTACTTGAAGTAAACATTTTATCTTTGATGTACGATTGTGGGTGTGTTTGTCCGAAAATGCCTGATTTGTATAAACATTACCGCCGGGGCATTTTTCGCTTTTGATTGTTAAACAAATAGAACGTCTACATATGCTGGCTGTCAAATTATCAGCTTTAGGCTTTTAGGAAAAATCTATTCTTAAATCAATTGACAGTTGAAAGACGACCACTATTCGTATTAATGTTAATGTGATTTGGACACGCTGTTATCTTGGGCGGTTAATTGTGTTGTTAATAGCGCCCGAAGTGAGGAATATCACTTTAGTGTATTTTAGGGTATTAGAAAGTATATTTTGTGTCTAATGCATAATGTTATGTCCACCCTTTGACGGATAAATGCCTGTGGGCTTATTTGTATTTTCATGTGGTAGAGGTAGGCTTGCCAGATTGTTGTCCACAAAAAGCTGGACATTGGGTATAAAAAATGGGTTGCCGATGCTCCATTTGTTTCGTATGTAAGTTATAAGTTTTCAAACTTGAAGATACCAGAAGAACTGGATCATTGAGTCCACCTTCGTACTGGATGTAGGTTTGGTAAAAATATTACGTGCTACATATGACAAACACATTTTCAAAATGGTGATCCTAGGTGAGTGAGGAACTAGAGAAATGGACCGAATCGAACACAACAAATCGCAGAAGTCTACTCCGCTCAAATTACCCACTTGCTTGTTGCAGGCACTCATTGTCCCGATAATAATATAGAAGCACAATGACAAAGATTTGCCCACTGCCTACCAACTGCAGTAAATGCAACACTTGTATGCCAACGACCACCATCAATTCGATGGTGGTCTGCTACGACCAGGAGTGTCGTAATGCTACTGAGGCGAAAAACGTAATGTGATGGAGAATTATCGGAAGAAAATTAGAGAGAAGAAATGTATTTTCAGAAAAAGAAGAAAGAACAAGAAAAACGTGAGCGGGAGCAAATCGAGATGTACAGGAGTCAGAACGAAGTTTGGAAATTTTATCAACGAGTAAAACACCAAACCGAAGGCTTTGGTGCCGGAAAATCCTCCCGTAGAAATGAAGGAAACCTGGTAGCAGATATAGATAGCGCGTTGAGAATCTGGAAGTTGAATTTTGAAAACTTCTGGTGTCAAACAGTGGCTGTGAAGAAGATATCCCAGAACAAATAAGAGATGACGGTATAGAGTACAAGATGAGGTCAGAATAGCAATTAATCCCGTGAAGAATAATAAAGCAGCAGGTGCCGAACTATGACCAAGACTGGTGGTCAGATACTGGTAAGGAGCATGTACCATCTGATTAGTATGATTTGACTAGAGGAATACATGACCAACGATTGGAACCTCAGCATCCTGTGTCCCGTGCACAAAAAAGGAGACTGGACGATATGTGCCAAACTATAGAGGAATATGTCTCCTTCCCGTCGCCTATAAAGTGCTATCCAGTGTACTGTGTGAACGACTGAAGCCAATGGTCAATGTCATTATTGGACCATACCAATGCGGCTTCAGACCTGACAAATCCTGGAAAAGACCCACGAAAAACACATTGACAAATTTAACCTATTCGTCGACTAGAAAACTGCATTCAACAGCTTAATCCGTTAGAGGTTTTTAAAGCCATGTCTGCCTTCGGCATTCCTGCAAAATTAATACGGCTATGCAGGATAACTTTAATTGTCACAAGATCAGCAGTAAAAGTTGGAAAGGACATCTCGCAACCCTTTAATACCGAATGAGGATACAGGTCATACGAGAGGCAAAGGTGAACAGAAATGGCACTCTGTATACTCAACAACAAATGTTACTATCCTACGTCGATGACATCGATATAATTGGTCGAACAATAAGAGCGGTAACAGCATTCATTGAACGAATTGAGAAGGAGTCTGCCAATGTGAGTATGGCAGTAAACGGCAAGAAGACCAAGATGATGGTATGAACGCGCAAAACGTCCAGTAAACACGGACCAACTGCGGAACTTGAGAACTACTGCTTCAAATATTTTATATACTTTGATACCGCTATAAATAAAACTAATGAAATTTTGGAGAAGGATAGGCGAACAGATGCAGTTTAGAAACAAGGACACCTCTCGTCAGACCAAACTCACATTCTACAAGACGTTCATACTTCTCGTGCTGTTATATGGATATGAAGCATGGGTACTTACGCAAACAGATGAGGCGGCTCTTGGAGTGTTTGCGAGAAAAATTCTCCGAAAGATCTATGGGATGATCTGCATGTTGTGAGAATGGATGAAGTTGTCCCAGGACATAAGGGGAAGGCCAAGAATTAGAGGGAAAGATCAAGTGGAAGACAACATTGCCGAACATTGTCATTGAAATTGAAACTGAGCAAAAGACCGACGCGCCTCGAAATCTTTTTTAAGCTCGGCTTATGGAACTAAAGTTCTGTCACACGCCAGCTAAGTAATATTTTTTACCCTGCAAGATCCCAAAATGCCTCCAAAACAAAGAAAATGGTGCGGTAACGTTATACGAGAGCTATATAAAAACATTGACTGATATATACCAATATATGTGTAACATTTCAAAGCTTAATTTGAAATATTGCACCTCGTGCTTTCAAAAAAGACGGCAAGGCTGACAAAGACACTTAATTTAAATCTGCTCAAAAATATATATACTATATAGTGCCCTCGACGAATATTTCCAGAAATTTGATATAACCTCCACCTCATAATAACACGAACAACTTGCAGCAATTCTCAAATTACAAAATTGTGTTCCAAAGTTATTTTACACTTCATTAAAACCCCTCCATTTCAAGTCCCGCAAATTACAATCCTTGCATTTTGTTTTTAAATTATGTGCTCCATTTTCATCATTTCATTTTGTGTTCCTTATTTTACACTTCATTAAAACCCCTCCATTTCAAGTGCTCTCCTTGCATTTTGTTTTTAGATTTTCCACATTTCCAGACATTAATTTTATTGATTCACACAAAAACCAGCGCAGTTGTCTGCCGCACCACTTTTGATCTTTTGAACCGCAAAAACTTAACATTCAAATACATTAACGACTTAACCGAAGACTTACGGGTTATTTGTGAAACTTTTCATTTCCTTGCTCAGGGCTAAATTATAACGAACTTCCGAATAACGAAGGCACACACACACACAGACACGGAGCGGAGAAATGAAGGTGAAGTGAACTAAAGAAACAAACACCTCCATTTCGTAGTTTTCTTTTTTTCTTTCGTGTGCCTTGCTTTTCCTCACTGTCGTTCGTATTGATTGATATTGACTTCATAAAAGCGATGTGTCGATGATTTGTGAACATCACTTGAATGTTTCTTCGTTTAAAAGTTTCTTGAGTTTCTTTTCTCAAAGTTCTGGCAGCAGCAGCAGATGAAGAAGAAAAAACCCAACTAAACTGGAGGAGAATATTTCTCCTATCTAGCAGCACAGTGGCTCGCTCGCATGTAAGCAAAGAAGTGTTTGTTGTGGAAGGGGCTGCAAGGTGTTCATTCATGTGATGAAATTGTGATATGCGAAAAAACGTGACTAAACTTTTCTTTACACTTTCACGAAATCTTCGTAATGAATAATCAATGGTAAAATATTGTTGGTATTTCTCTACCCTCAAGTTTTCTAGTTTTCTAAAGATACTTCATTCGTATAAGTTTATAAATTGGAATTTGTTTCCCCTCATAACGAAGTGATGTGATTGGTAGAGCAAAAAAATCGCTACTAAATTAATATTTTATTTTGATCAATGGTTTTGTGTGTGTGGGAGAATAAATCTCTTATGGTTTCATAAATCTACTGATGATAATTTTTATTTTTATTTTTCATTGGAAATTAATTATTTAACCCTTTATGGACCGAATTTTTTCCATGGCTAAAGAACTATTTTCGGTGCAAGAGTCTAATTTAATGTTTAATTTCAGCAACGAACCCGTTGCTCTTTTTGGAAAATTTCCCGGTATACAACCGAACAAAGTGCGAAAATAGCATATCTCTTTAGAAACCCCCTTTACCACTACTTTAGGTTGCAACAGTGCCTTTTCAAGCCATATATAATTTAATAAAATTTTTTCTTTAAATACTTCAGTTTACTCAAACAAAAAATGTATTCCAATAAAATTGTGTTAACGATTCGATGTTATTTATCACTCATAAAACAAACTATGAAATAACCTCATAAATTTCGAAAACTTTGTTTTTCATATACTTTTCGTTTTTACTCTGGCTCCTCAATTTTCTGAGGCAAAAAAAAAAAAACATAAATAAATGTATGCATTTAAGTCTGAGTCTGATATGTTCGGTGTTGTCATCTTCATCATCAGCAGCCATTTTATATATAGTAACTGTCAGAAACATAAGAAGAAGAAAAAAAAAACAAAATTATGAAGACAAAGTTTTCCTTTTCACACTGGATGTCTCGAATCTCAATGCAGCTAGTGTTTTTTTGCCCACATAAAGTAAAAATACTACAAAAATATATATAAAATATGACAAACCCACAGCCATGTACATGAAAATCATGTCTTACTTTACTCGCTTGTTAAAGGATTCACACACTCGTCT